GAACCTCATTAAGGCGCTGTACGCCAACTCCCGCGGCCGTGTAAAGGTCTACGGGAAGCTCTCTCCTGAGTTCACCACATCAAGTGGTGTCCGACAGGGTTGTCCTCTTTCACCTTTCCTCTTTAACTTCGTCATTGATACGATCATGGAAGACTCACTACCAGCCTCTAATGTGGGTGGGGTCGAAGTGCTCCCTGGGCCTCCGCTCACAGATGTGTTAGTTTGACGCCTATTGTGACAGGTCTTCTGGAGTCACTGATTCTTCGTCTCACGGTGGCACGCGAAGCCTTGATCCGTGAGAATCAAGCGGGAATTCGAGCGGGTAAAGGCTGCGTTGACCACGTCTTCACGCTCCGTCCGGTATAAGAGTGACGCCACATGCACAGACGACACAATCTTGGTATCTCTTGACTTCGAGGGTGCGTCCCATTCCGTCGATCGATAAGTGCTGTTAATTACATTTGCTCAACAGGGTATGTCCCAGAAGTTTGTAAACATAGTCTGATCCCTATATTCACATACTTCTGGGCAGGTGGGAGTGTATGATGAGCTCTCCAAAAGCTTTCCTACAAGAAGCGGTGTCCACTCTCTCCATTATTGTTCAGCTTCGTCATTGATGAAATAATGAGGCGAACACTGGACGGTCTTCAAAACCCCGGTGTTCAAATTGTTGCTGATGAGAGCCTTGTCGATTTTGGAGTACGCGCATGACATCGCCCTCATCTTTGAAGACCAATGCGAAGCACAAGCTCTGTTGAATAAACTGACGACCATCTTTTAACATGCGCCTTGAACCTTCAAAGTGCAAAGTCTTGTTTCAGAACGTGCAGTCTCCGAACATATCCTTTACAATTCAAGGAGAGTCATTAGAAATTATGGAAAACTTTACATACCTCGGTAGTTGTATTAGCTCTGACGAAAAAGTCTGATGAAGTCAGCGCAAGTCAGGCTCGAATAACGTTTTCTAATTCGCGTCACTTGTGGCATCTCACTAGACTTTAAGGGTAATGTGTACCAGGCTACAGTGAACAATGTGTTGTATGGGTGAGACATGGTCTCTGCGGGTAGATGATGTGAGGCGTCTTCAGGTTTTCGACCACCGATGCCTCAGAAGCCTAGCTGCTTTTGGATGGCGTTAGCGTGTTAGTAACGAGGTGATTAGAAAATGGGTATTTGGTTGTGCTGCAGGTACTTCAATCAGGAAAGACATCCGGCACAACCGACTACGATGGCTCGATCATGGTTACGCGTGCCGAAACACCGTCTACCGAGATGAGCGTTGTTCTCCGTGTCTCCTTAAAAATGGTGCAAACCATGAGGTTGAAAACGCATGACTTGATAGAAGGGCGTGAAAGAGTTTGGGTGTTGTTGGTGTTGTACACCTTCCAGAATGGGGTCTCTGTGATCTCGCCTGTGCTTGGGTGGAGACGTTGCAAGAAACTGCGGCTAGTCGATGTCGGTAACGTTCGCGCTGTCAGTTTCTTTCCAGATTGTCTGATTGACCGGTTGTAGGTGTAGGCACCTCAGAATGCTTGACAAATGTCAGTAATAAGTCCTCTTCTTCACCCACGCTTTCTTATTTTCACTTTGGGGCAGTGGAACATCAGTGTCAACACTGATGTTGCTATTTTTGATGGTGGTGGTGGTACAAGAGATTATCATTAGATTAAACTCACTCTCATTTAATGAATGCCGATATGAAATTACAAATAGTCTGACGCTACTTTTGGGTTTTCGCTTGGCGGACAGAGGAGTAGTTGCCTGAACCTCCAGGATGAGTGTTTGAGGGTGCAGTCACCTCGAAATGATTGTAGTATGCTATCATTAAGTCCCATCCCCATCCACCCTTATTGTTTTCTTCACAATAAGGTCTTCGAATGAACTATAACTATACCGCAGCTGGTAAGCAGTTAGAATACCGGTTTTGTGCTGCCGATGAAGACGGTTTCTTCGGTTTTGTTCCGCTTCGAGTTCATTTTGAAGCGGCTACCTTTTCGAATGACGTCTACTTGAGTACTGCTAAAGGCGCCATCGGGAATGCAAAGATGATACCGTATGACGTTTTTTATTTTAAGATAAGTGAAAGAGACCAGTGTGTGTGACTTACGTGGACCTCAGAAACGATATGTAGTCCGCCCAAATAGAATAGGAATTTAAGTCTAGGCCCATTTTGTCGAGGGTGAAGTCGTACGCTTGTGCCATCTTTTCTCTAGTGAAAATGAAAATACAATGAGCGAATATAATATACTTGAACGCATGATGTTTCCCTTTTGTGTCTTTAATGTATTGTAGGTACAGCTTCCACAAATCAATGTTCAGGATTTTTACCAAACAACGCTGGAATAACTTCTCCACACGTTCAAAATTTTTGGCTTTCATCTAAGCGGGTTACTAGGACGTTCAAGGAAACTTACCTCCTGATTAATGTAAATTTTCCAGTACTGTCCAGCGAATGGAAACTGGTTCACAATACGCTCAAACACATCCCTCGCATCCTCCACCTTCTTACTCTGTGCATCCCGCAGCAACACACTCCAGGCTTCAATGTCCCAAGGGTTAGCTTTAATGCGTTCCTCTGCCTTCTGCATTTTGTCCATCTTATAAACACGGCGCTGCATGAACGGCATGATGAGGGTTTTGAAGCCTGGATTTGTCACGGCGACAGCAAGGGACACAACGAGATTTGTGGCTGTACTAATCTAAGCCGTCTGTTTCGTCCAATAGGCTTGGGAGTCAGTTGGCTGGCAACCGATTGGAGGCTAGGAAGGCTTTGGAGTCAGGTAGACGAAGTTTGGCTTCTGATATCAGGTCAAACGCTTTCAGGTGACCTTAAGGGGCAATCTCTTCCAGCTCCACGAACCGTTCAAACAAATGTGACACTTTTTGCAGGGGGTTTATGCTGTTCTGCAGATGAGTGGACTGGGCCTGCGCGCAGTAACCAAATTCCGGTTTATCGAAGGCTTTGGAAAATGGTAAGAACACATAGGGTTCCTTTGGGACGGAAACGGATCTTATCTTATTCCTTTGCCGCGGCAGTGACGTGAACTGAGCAGCAATACTGGCAGACGACTGAGTCGTTTTCTGGTCCCATGCAGCACCTAGGGCACAGATAGGGTTCCCCAACATGCAAGGAGTCTCTGTCGTCAAAACACGTGAGATACCGTTAAATTATTGTGCGAAGTCACGAAATGACCTCTCTTACTTGTTACCATTCTGCAAGAACGTAAAAGCGCTTAGCAGGTTCCCAGCGATATCATCTGCAAACACACAAAACATCAAATTATCCGGGCTTGTTCGATGTGAGATCCCTCCTTTGGCCCACCGTACTTCCGAGCTCGCCGATTCAGTGAAATTCAGAAACCACGGCCTTGGTGAATTTCCCTGTTCATTCTCAAACGCCAGGACAATGCTTATCAAATTGTAGTTTGGGGGAAACGAATAGTGGCCAAGTGACCGAAGGCTTGCTGGATGTCTATGCAGAACGGTCCTATAGTTTAGCCTCATGTATTCTGACCATAATTCTGTCCTAAACGCGCAAAAAGATATTGCGGTAAGCTTTCCTTCCGGAAAAAACAGACCGGCGTGCCAGTCGAAACTTTTGCTTACTTTGGAATATCTGGACACGATTTTCCCATGGATTCACGGCCTGTATCTTTGTGCATCCCCCAATGGTAGCTCTTTTTCAACTTTCGGAGGGTTAGGACGTTGGTATTTTTCTATTCCAAAGCTTGCCACCGCCTGGGAGAAACGACTTAACAGAGCTTATATATGATGGAATGGAATTCGTCTGGCCCCGTTGATATAAGGGACATTTTTCTTGATTGACCTGATATTTTTTGTTCACAGTCTGTCACTGGCAGGGAGAAACAGGTCTCCATATGACTACTGATCGTTGCTCCTTCACTTGATCAAAACACTAATGAGACCGACGTGCCTCTTCTCGGTCAGGTAAACGTGCGTCTATAGTCTCACGCAGCGAACGGACATAATAATAGTGGACATTGTCGTCTCATTTGGCTCGTTTTGCTATCCTTAGCGCACCATCTTTCCCGCAAATGTTTTGAGGCTCGGTAGAAGTCGGGAATCCTTATTCTGAAGGCAACGTTCCAAACGCGATACCCTCTGTCCACCACCTCTCCTGAGCGTATATTTTCAATGAGGTACCTCTCCGTCGTCCCTGCAATAACTCGTCCGTTTATTGTTCAATTATCCTCTACCGCATCCACAGTCAGGAGCCTGTTAAACTTAACATTTTGATAGTATCATCTGATCCTGTCTGACGCTTTCCTTGGACACACGTTCAATAAACCGCTTGTAACCTCATGATCGCCTTTTCGTTGTACGCTTCTTGTAAGGAAAACCACTCACGGTAAACGTTTGTGGGCCCCGGTAAGGGAAGACGGCTGAAGTCATGCTTTTCGGGGGCACGTCACAGTCATAATAGGCCCCTTATCCAGAGAAAACGTAGGTTGCTATATTTTGTGACTAAGGAAATGATAGCCAGTCAAAAGCACTTCATTGATCTGCCAAGATCCACGCTTGGTCACGTGAAATATATTGCGTCTCATATGAGCGCGCTCCCAAAGAAAAATTTCAACAGCAAGCGCGCCGCACGTATAACAAAGATCTCTCGTTTGACCGGTCAAACAAATACTGCAGGCTTTTGTGCATATGACCGGTGAACAAGTTGGACAATGGCAAGGCGTCTGAGTATACGGCTTGCACATCTGGTGCGAACAGTTAGAATGTTTTTGCGAAGCGGATGATGTCGCAGTGCACTTTCATGGTGGAAGCCTTCAATCATATCACGGATTCACGGATTCACGGATTGATACACAGGATCGAGGGTTTTGCCCAAGTTTTCCGGGTCGGTTTTCTTCTTGTCGGTCAGCGGCTGTCGTTCACCTGAAAGGCACAAGTGAAAAAAGAGTGTAGCACTGCTCTTTATGTTCTCAGCGGGTCAGCGGTAAAAAACCTGTGTGCCAAGCTTTGTTCAAAAAGGGCGTAAGTTAGAATTAGGTCCCCCCGGAGGTGACGGTACACCAGAGGAAAGAGATAAAGCATCGCGAGACGCGTTTCGTAGTCCACGGATTTGAGGCCGGCAACCATTCTCGTAGCGGCCCGCTGGACACCATCAATAAGGGTGACGTTTTTCGTTCTTCCTGAGTAGACAACTTGGTTGTCGTACTCCAGGAGCGGTCTGACGTAGGCCCCATAGAGTATTTGGAAGTCCATGCGAGTAATACAGGAGAAGGTGCTTCGGATCATCCGTAAAATGGCGAATACCTTTTGGGCCGATTTCTCATGATGTAGTGAGAAGGAAAAGTTTGAGGAGAGCCAGATGCCGAAATCTTTTTTGGCATCTATCCTCATGATACTTTCTGGTCCCTTTTCACCATGCATAACAAATTCATTCGCTGAATCCCCTCCAAGCGACATATGGACGCACTTTTCATCATTCAGAGGAAGGTGCCAGTCCAACGACCACTGCTTGGCAGCGTCTACATCCATTTGGAGGGCGCTGGCATTGGAACTCCAGGATTTCAAGTCGTCCGCAAAAAGTAAACATGGACTCGCAAGAACGTCTGGGAGGTCGTTGACGTAGATCACAAACAGGAGTGGTCCCAAGACGGAGCCTTGAGGAACTCCAATGGAGACCGGCGCTGGAGAGGAATAGGTCGAGCCTATTCTCACTCGGAATGATCTCTCTGATAGGAACGCCTTGATCCAGCGAAGGATTTTCCCTTGAATCCCGTAAGACTCGAGTTTGTGGAGCAGCGGGACGTGTGGGACCCTATCAAATGCTTCTCAGAAGTCGAAAAATATGGCATCCGATATGAGTCCTTCGTCCTTGGCTTGGGTTAAGCTGCCCATAAACACGAGCGTGTTTGTTACGCAAGAACGGTTTGGGAGAAATCCGTGTTGAGATGGAGATATCAGATTGCTGGAAGTAAGGTGATCTAGGATGGCTCGCTTAAGAATGCGTTCCATCAACTTGCACGGCACGCTAGTGAGGCTTATAGGCCCATAGCTGCCAGGCGATAGTCGGTCAACAGTTTTGTAGATTGGCGTGACAATCGCTTCCTTCCAAGCAAGGGGAAGGCGGCCTTCGTCAAGCGACTGACGAAACGCCAAGTGTAAATGGTTTGCCAGTGTGGAGGACGTTTCTTTCAGGATCCTCGGATGGACCTCGTCGGGTCCCAATGCGCAGAATGGGTTGATCTTGTCCAAGAGTTGACAAATGTCCTCCACCGTGAAGACCAAGCCGGTTAGAGGCTGTTCGTAGTTTCTCCTTGACAAGAATGGATGTGACGAGGACGCTGGGGCTGAGTATAGACACGCATAGTGTTCTCTGTAAGCCTCAGATACCACTGTTGAGTCATTCGTCGGTTC